ATTGTGGTTTAGTGGTTGAAATCCAACCGCTTAACTGCTAAAATTTGAGAGTTGTTGCTCCCCTTTCAAGGTCAACCAAGATACGAAACTCCTCTTCGAGCGCGTGTGTCAAAAAAATAGGAGCCCCCGTGGCAAGAGCTGCTGATACTTGGACCCTTGAAAAGCCCCCAAGAAGACCCCTGGTCTTGAGCCATGGTCAAAGGGCGGCTTTGCTTGAGCTTGGGGATCATCAAGCTGGATTTTAGCGCAATGAAAGTAATGACCCACATGATGGGAGTTTTGACCGTGAGCTACGCATGTGGGAAGAAGGAGATGGGGGCTTCAGTGTTTGTTGGGGTTCGTGACTGCAGCTTCCATCCAAATTGGTCACCAGATTCCCATCCGAGCTGAAACAAAGCCCATGGAGGTTTCTTTCATCTTGGTTGGGTGCTTGTAAGTTTCGCTTTTCAGGAACCAGTTGTCTCCCTTTGTGCCAAGGCTTCAGACCAACATGTTAGGTAACCCCTAGTTGGTGGTTTGGATTGGTGGTTTGTGGATTTGAACCCTTGTTGCTTGTGGGTAAATGGGAAATCCCAAACCACCAATCCAAATCACCAAACAGAGGGAAGCTAAACATCACCTGTTTCATACGCAGCTTCTTGGTGGTGGTCGCTAAAATATTGTGTGGCTCAGGCCGCGTGTTGATAAGAATTCGCCGAAAGTTAAATGCCCGTAGGCCAAAACCCTAGCTCTTCGTGATGAATCCAAGGAAGCACATGGAGTTCTCGAAACATAGGTGAACCTCGGCAAAAAGCAGCCACCCCGCAAGAACAAGACACACCATACCCCTGTCATACTGTGGATGGACGAAATCCTGCACCACCTAAGAAACCCTGGAATGGTGATTCTCCTGTAAATACCAACAACTTATGGTTTCCAATGGCTTCTTAGGCGGTGCGAAATGGATTTCGTCCGTCCACAGTAGGAAGGCTTCCCGCCTCGTCGAAATCCTGCACCACTTTGAAACCATGGTTGAAACCATAATTTGTGGGTAAAAAGCAGGAGAATCAGACCAACAGTTAGGGTGTCTTAGGTGCGAGAAGCGGATTTCGCAACCATCCACAGCGATCAGCGTCAGTCAGAGCATTCGCAACAGGGCGGTTCCCTTGGAACCGCCAGGCGGAGCCCAAAGCGAGGCCTTCCGAAACGGGGGCGTTTTGGACTTGGCTTCGGCTCGGCCGGCTGGGCTGGAGTTGTTCACCTTGCACTTTGCGGTCCTTCCATTCGGTTAAGAATATGTTTGTGTATTTGTTTCCAAAGGGAATCTATGACTGGAAAATTGTTTTTTCCAGGGGACTTAAGCAAATGGAGGTTTGTGTTTCCCTGGCGAGCAACAAGTTGAGCTTTCCATGCAGGCAATAGCCACACAGTCAGGATTTGGGGGGGCTCTTTCGATGAGAGAGGGAGTCTGCCTTGGCGAGCGATCCCACCGATCCGGGGGAGCGAGCGACAGCCATGTATTGCTTGGGGGATCCCTTTGGGTCGTCCGCTGTGGGCCCTGGGTGTGTCTTTTTTGAGAAAAATGGAAAAACCATCATTTGATCGGTCCCCTGATAGAAAGACACATGTGCAGGGCTCCTAAGAGTGGAGGCTACAGGGGGCTCCCTTTGTGTCTTGTACCTTTTTGAAAACATCCTAGAGCTATGGACATCTCAAAAACATGCTGCCTCTCAAGGGGTTGATATGTGTCACATGTTAGCGAAAAATTCATATTTGCTAGGGCTCCTTGGAGGACAAGATTTACCCATTCGAAGCAGCTTTGCCACCATACCAAAAAACAATCGAGCTTCAAATGGGGCTGGTTTCGATGTGTTCCGGGGTGCTTTGCCATGTGCCCTTTACAAGAACCGAGATTCGAATCCCCAAACCACGACTTGGTGACTCCCAGCCATCCCCTTAGCGCTCTAGCTTTTTAGTGTTCAAAGGTAGTTTCCATTTAACCCACTAAAAGTTACACTTTTAGCGGAGGATCTAAGGGCAGCCCAGACAAGTAAACCCAAACCACCAATCACGAGGTACCCGAAGTGAACTGGTCGGATCATATCGCAGCATCATTGGGTAAAACAACCTCGGGCTCCATTTGGTTCGCGGGATCTCTTTCAGGTTGAGGTATCAGAATGTATTGTTGACTCCTGATTCAAGAATCCGCCAGGGTTTTGTTTCTATGACTAGGCGACACCCTGATTCTTTGGGGGGTTATCAGGGGTCAACAGTACCCAGATTGAATCTCAGCTCAGTAGCTTTAAGATTATTGAGCTGGGCTTTGTCTCCGATGTTTTCCGCGGATGCTTTGAGCACAAGTGCTGGATTCCATAGTTGCCACATCCACACTGTGTAGCATTGAAGTCAAATGTCATCGGCATATTGTGGGGCATCTGGGAGGAAGCGGCGTTTTTGTTGCCGCCGCATCGGATGCTTTAGGCGCGAATTGGGTAGGATCCACCGGGGCCGATTTAGCATGACTTGCCTCAAGCATTCATGGAGTTGCCCAGCTTGAATATCAACATAGATTGATCACTGAGGCCAGCTCGTACTTGAAGATGGTCGTTTTGTGCATTATGGCCTTAGTCACAAGAGCGTTTCCCTGCTAACCAGCAAACAGCGGATCACTTGCGAGGGATTTGTCGGACCAATTGGGAATCCGCCGAAGGCGAACCATGGCTCCGAGCAGAACGTCGGTCACTGCAGCTGCTTGGATCCGAAACGGAGAGGTCGAGTTCGAGTCGGGTTTATCCTTGGATCCGGGTCGATAAGCGTAGGCCTTACTCTGCTTAACATGGAGCCCACAACACCTAGCTGTTTTTTTTTTTTTTGCAGGGCGTTGGAATTCCATCCCTTTTTGGGTTACACGCTAAGGGGCTGCACATGGGCTCAGAGGGCGCTTCACATGGCAAAACGACCGAAAGGAATCCCCGGGTCCCAATGGGTGTCGTTTTGGGAGGGGCCCTTCAGTTTTCCTTTTGGTTTGCAGCCAGGGGGTCCTTTGAGCTTGACACGATCCTCAATGGAATTGTAAATTCTTGAACACCGACCAAGAACGGGGTCCCCAAAAACACGACGCCCCCCGAAATCTTGAGGCCTAGCCCCAAAAGGAGCTCATGTGGAATAGTTCCATCGAAGGAATGCCCACATGCCATTCATAAGTGGAGTATGAACCATCACAAATGGGATGTCGGCCATGTCAGCAATTCGAGGAAACCCTCTCCCATCCCTCTCCCTTAGTTGACAATGCCAGTCTTGGATGTCCGGACTTTGCGTTTCCTGGAGCTTTTTCCCTTGCCCTCAACCCGCGCTGGCCCGAGGCATCGACGCGCCCAACGCGCGTGTCGAGGCGCTGCTCCGCGCCTTTCAGGAGGCCCAGGCGCGGCGCGCGGCCCGCGCGGCCCGCGCGGCCGGGGCCGGCGAGCACGGCGGCTGGGCGCTGTGGCCGTCGCTGCCGGCGGCGAGGAAGCGAGCCCCGGCGAAGGCTCTCGAGGCGAAGGTTCCCGTTTTTGGGTCTCCCAGCGATGCCCTTTGACCAAGTTTTTTTTCGGGAGGGTGCCCCTACTAAAATAGACTACCCTTATTCTAACCTCTCTACTGGAAGACCTACCCCCGTTGCCGTGTTCAAGTTGTGTTGGAGAGTCCAGGATATTTTGATTGTGAATGAGTAATACACGTGGACCCCGCTTGTGTGGAACTAGTCCAAGCTGTCCTAAATTTGTGAGATTATACCTACCCCCAGCCACTTTCAAGGGCAAGCAGGGCTTATAGCCACTGTGCAGCCACTATATGCTGGTAAATACACAATACACTACTCCTTTTGGGTAGCTTCGGTTTCCTTGGAATCTAGTAAGTGCATCAGTGGCTTTTTGGCAAGGAAAAGTATGTTGATTCGTTGCTTCTGTTTGTGGCGAGTGGAAACACACCACATGATGACACGTGCTGCTGACCAGCAAAGAAACACCGAAGAACCCCTGAGCTAGAATTTCCGGAAGGATGCCGGGGGAGGGGGGGGGGTCGTAAGAACCGGCGAAAAAAAAAAAACAATATCTAAGTGATCCCTGGCTGCACAAGTCCCAGCCCAACCAAAAGATGAACATCTGAGGCAGGGCCATGGGAACCCCGGATTTGGTTTAAACCCCCTGGTTGATTTGTTCATGGTTGTTGTTGGGAAACATTTTGCATTTTTGCTTATTGTGGTTTAGTGGTTGAAATCACTGCTAAAGTTTAATTTGTTGCTCCCCTTCCAACGTCGACCCAGTGTTGATGCCCGTGTTTTTTTCGTTCGGAAACTCCCCACTTCGGAGCACCCTACTTGGATCCAGGGTCACCATGTCGGCAAAGGGCCAAAATGAAGCCGCGAGTTTTCGTGATGAGGGGGGGGGCGCCCTGGAAACGCCATTCCCTCGCTCCCCCATTTCTTGCTTTCATCCAACTGCCCCAATTCCATGTTCTGAGTAGAGGATGAAGCGCCTGGGTTTTGGTTGGTTCTTGGAGGGCACTGCAGAAAAATGAGGTGTGCTCTTCGTGGACAACCTCGACTCCTTCAGCTTGAACGTGGCCAATGCCTTTGCAGAGCTCGGGGCGGTGCTTTGGCTTAAAAGCCTCGCTCGGTTCGCCTGGGGCGTAGACCAAACCATGAGGCGAGGGTCCAACCCCCCGGATGGATCTACCTTTTTGCTGTTTGAAGGCCATTTTGGAGATGCAATGCAGTTCTTGTAGTTCCATGCCGAAGATATCCCTTGAAAGAAGGGAAGTGGTTTGGGGGGAAGCGGTGTCCGCTTCTTGGGGATGCGGTGTCAAGCTTCTCGCCAAATAGGTGGGTCTTTTTGAGGGTAGCAACCGACCCACCAACCAGCCAGTTCACCAACCAAGGAACTAGCCAGCCAGCCAACCAACCAACCAACCAACCAAAAAGAGAAACCTACCAAACCAAGAACCAACCAAACCAACCAACCAACCCAACTAACTAACTAACTAACCAACCAACCCACCAACTAACCCACCAACCAAACAACCAGCCGCCAACCCGCCGGGACCCCTCACGCCTGCCGAGGAGGTGGTCGTCGTACCCGGCCGCGGGCCCACGAGCCCCACAGCCGAGGCGGGAACATGCTTAAGCCGAGCTCCAGTCCCCCGGTTTCCGTTTGGGGTGTGCCTCTCAAGTAGCGTTTCTTTTTTGGGGGAGATTCGGTTCCCCTAAAATAGACGTGAGAAAAAAATTGGTACCAACTTTCTAACCTCTCCACTGGAGCACCTAGCCTTGGTTCGGCTGGGAGAAGGAACCTTTGGTCCATGTAAATAAGAAAAAGCACCCCGGCACCCAACAAATCCAAACGAAAACGGAAGCTGATCAACTGGATGCCCTGACCAACCCAGGGACGCTTCGATGCATCGGTGTTGCGTTCTACCTTTCCTAGCAGAATCGAAAAAAAGCGCTCCCTCTACATTCGACCGTAGTTCATTTCATCGCTTTGCAAAAGATGGTTTGCAAACCCCGGTGGTTCAAAATCAATCCGCAAGATCCCGCCTCATGGTGGCGCTGTCCGGAATGGGATTCAAGATCCAAGGGCCTGAGATAAGTGGGTGGAATATATGGCCTTGAGCCAAATCCCGCCATGTCGGTGTCCCTCTACTTCCCCCCTTACAAGCAACTAATAAAGAGGCGTTAAGCAGAACACATCCACATGTCAGAACATGGTACAAACTCCCCGGCATTTCCGAGGTGGAGCTATGTTTGCCACGGGTCTAGTCTTCCAAGCTGAATGTGTTCGGGTTCTACCTCCAAAAGCCCGCAGATCGACTTCCGGAAAGTGAGATTTCGATTTCGGTCCGGGAATGCGTAAAACGGGTTCGTCCATTTGCTGAAGAATGTTTGTTCCCCTGGTTTTTAAGGAACATCTATCGCTACTGGTTATATGTTCTTTTCTGCCAGGGCACGCAAATGGAAGTCCTCGGGTTGCCCTGGTCGCCTCGTTGAAGTTATCTCCCCGACGATCTCGTCTCGAAATCCAACTTATCGTTCTGCCAATGCGAGCGATTCCACGCATCCCGGAAAGCAGGAGTTAAGCGAGCGAAAGCCATGTAAGTTGTTTACTCACTGGATCGCTCAGTTTTCAGGTTTTGGAGTATCAAAAGTTCTTGTCGCGGAGCTAGAATCCGGCGCCAGTTTCGCGACTTTGCGCGTGCGAGCTTGGCGTTTGGTCCTGGGTCGATGTTGCTTTCAGTGGAGTCAGTCGCAGGATTTACCCCTTTTGACTGTGACTGAAAATATGTCAATCTTATTAGGCCTCATTTTGGATGGAGTTTCTTTCTCAGCATTCTTGTTGCAGACCTTGCTTGCCATCCACAAGCGGGGGGGTAAATCACCCCGACCGCAAAACAAAACCACCTTGGCGCCAATCATCGGCATTTGGCATGTCGCTTCCCTACATTTGGTCATGAAAGGAACAGTTTTTTCGAGGTTCTCGAAAATTGATGACATCTTCTTGGTTATTTTGGGTAGTTTCCCCCCCGCGCCATTTCGGACGTCACCCGTCGCATCCCTCGAATCCGAGCGAGGTACTTCGGGAGGTCAGTCCCAGCCACATCGTGCTGGGGCCGGGGCCTGGCAGACCGGAGCCACGGCCAGCGGAAGACGTGGGGCCGTGGGGTGGGCCTCACGAAAAAAATCGCCCGCGGGGGTTCCAAATTTCGGGTCCCAAGTTGTGGGACATCTGTGGTGTGGATTGCGAAATCCGCTTCTGAACCGGGTTGAATGAAGCCAGAAGGTTGGCATTTGACGTTGGAATCGATTCATTCCCTTGGGTTTCTTCGGCTTTTCTTGATGCAACCATCAGGGGGTCGCTGAGGCAGGCTCGACCGGGGTGGTGGTTTGCGGCAGGGAGTCGAGGGTTCAACAGGAGGGTGGTTGCGGGTGAAAAAAGCGCTCCCTTTTTTTCCAGGTGCCGTGCCAGCCTTCTCGCTGGCTTCGCGAGTTTCCTACTTGAGACCTCCGGGTGGGATGCGAAACCCAAAAGGACAAGAGGAAACATCCACAAGCTGTAACTGGCTTCTCTTTTCCGCAAGTGAGCTGATTTTCCCGCAATCGGCCACAAGAACGAAATGCCCCAAGATCGCTAAGACTCCTTGCCCGAAGCAAAGGTTGTTCATTTCATGTCTACGCAAGGCAAGTCGCAGGTCGCCTTTTGTCGAACCAGTTCCTTTCACCAAGTGAGAACCCCCTGACTTGGTAAACAGGTGGCCGGACGATTAAAGTCGGGGACTTCAGGGTTTGAAAGCAAGCCAATGGTTGGGCCAAGTCTGTTCTTCACGGTAAGGCTGTTGATTGCTTTTCTCGGCGAACAAGGGGTAAACCACAACTTTGAGGGTCCTCTATGTGAAATCCCAAGTTGTGTAATGGGTCCCCCTCTTGGCTGACTTGCTTTTACCCTCATGGTCGGCCGCCTTTCCTTGAGAAAGGTGTGTCAAGAGCAGCCGTACTGTGGATGACGCAATATCCTGCACCACTTTGAAACTATGGGAAGCCGTTGTTTGTTGGTATTTACAGGGGACTTATCACTGGGCTTTTTGCGCGACCATCCACATGTCTTCTCGCCGAAGGAATGCAGGACGGCTCTCTTTGGACTCGCTCCCTCTTTCGGGGCTGCCAGATCCCTTGGGCCAAGTCTCAGATCTCAACAGTCCAGCCAGGAAGCCGCCAAACTGGAGCAAGCCAAGGAGAATTCACACATCAAACACAGGCTTACCCCAGATTCTGCCCTGGAGAGAATTCCGAGTACGACACAACTTCGGACTTGTGCTTTTCCGAAACTTCGGACTCGAAGCCTGAGGGAGTTTTTGCTTCCTCAGGAACCCTGTCGCTATCGCGCAACCGGAGCATAAGAGTCCTTGTTTGGTTGCTTTGGTCGAAAAATAGAGGGTGATTCCTGGTTTGCCTGGTGGTTCAATCAACTACCAGGGCCATCTGGCTATGGGTCAAACCCCCGTGCCAGTGAACCTCCCAATCCCCACTAAACTCGGTTCTAAATGGGTGGTGAATGCACCTACCCCAAGGTGCCAAAACTTTGGTTTTGACCACCACAGCCATCGAATTTCCACCAAAAAGGACAAATTCTGAGGAGATGTCGCCCCTGTCCATGGCGCTGGCACGCTGGGCGCTGGGCGCTCCGGCTCCGCCGCTGCTGGGGATCTGCCTGGGGCACCAGGCCCTTGGCGTCGCCCAGGACGGGGCGCGGGTCGCCGGGCGGAGTCTTTGGGTCCAGGGGCCAACTTTTACCGTGATTCGGTTCCCCCAAAGTAGACTACAAAAAACCAAGTTGGGTACCAACTTATTCTAAGCTCTCTACTGGAGGACCTAGGGATTCTTCTCTGGGTGATGTTCTTGCTTGGGTGGGTGGGAAAATTCTTGCTTGGGTGGGTGGGAAAAGGGAAACCATGAGGAACCAGGTCCATTTGTTTTTGGGGTGGCAGGGGGGATTTTTGCTGATTAACTCAGGATTGAGGACTGGTTGAGTAGGTGATGCCCAATGGAGGGTTTCGGGAAATGCTCCTATCCCGGACTGTGAACAGCACCTTGAGCTCCCATTTGCTGAAATGATGCTTTTTCCCGGTGGGTTTTTAAAGGGAATCTATCACTACTGGACATATTTCCATCTTCTCCGAAGATACCGCGTGGTTTGACATCGAGGCTTGGAGACGTGGAAGGGGTTTGCTTGGTTTGTTTGCTCCACTCGAAATGGTCAATCCCAAACCCCCCCCCTGTTGTTCAAAGCCTAGTGTCACTGGTTACAGCTCGGGTAATATAATTATGCTGGTACCACACCGCCATGTGGGGCACAGTGAGATGACCCCTGTCTCACTTCCTGAGTTCATGAACTTTAAACTTTTTGGGAATACCATTTTAGTGGTAAATAAAAAGTTTGGCTTTTTGTGGGCCATCCACTCAGCAAGTGATCACAGTGTTCATCGGCGTGCTTGTGACGCTGAATGGTAAATCACCCTTGGCATAAGCGCCTTGGCAGTGGAAGAGTTCACTTGCCGCAAACCAGGTCATGGAGTTGATCTTGGGGCCAAAAAAGCCTTTCAGCATCAGACCATAGCAAGTTAGGAAGCCGCCCTTCGACACGCGATTAAGGTACAGGGTCTTAGGGGCAGGTTTGGGGTTTCCCCCGCCCTTTTGCAGCTATGGCAAAGGATTGCCCGCCCTTGCAACTGGGATCTCGGGAAGTTGAGTGGGAAATTGTGTGAGATGGCAGCGAGATGGGGTGCCGTTGTCGTCGTTGTTTTTGTTTTTCCTGTTTTGTAATGTTTTCTTTCCATGGTTTCTTTAATGGCGAGCTCACCGATTCGGGGGGTATGACGCGCGAAAGCAATGACGAAGGTGATGCAATTCTTAATTCATCTTTGGGAATTATCGTAAAGCTTGCAGATAAGTTGTGACACCAAATGTAAACCGAAGCCTAATCCGAATCATGGACACCATTTTATGAGTACCCTCCCTCCAACAATCGTAGAAGCTGACTGGAGGAATTGGACAACTACTTTCCCTACGGGGAACCCCTCTATCCGCTTCCATGACTGGAGGGCGAGTATCTTCCATTTGGTCAAGTGTTTTTCCCCTGGTTGTAAAGGGAATCGATTTCACTACTGAAAATATAGCTTATATTGTTTATTATGTTTTTTCGGGGGACGTCTCAGCAAATGGAGGGTACCACTCACTGTTTCCCGATTCCCCGAAAGAGCGCGCTGCAGGGCTGGCAGCTTCTGCCCTCTCCTCTCGGCCCAGTGCATGGCGTCACCGAGGCTCGGTTTCAACCGAGCGAAACCGAAAGGAAGCGAAGTGGAGGGCGATTTGTGGAAAGCAAAATGCTTTGTAGCGAAAAGGGTAAACAGAAGTGCTTTTGGAAAACTGGTTGAACACAACTTGGGCTTCTCGTTCCTCCCCTTTCCGCCTCCCATTTGAGAACAGAATGGTTGTGGAAAAGAGGGATTGTGCAAAATTAACTTTGCAAGAATGGTTGGGGAAAATGGGGTTGTGGAAAACGGGGAGTGTGGAAAACGGGGATTGTGGAAAATGGGTGTGGAAAGCCAAAGCAATCCAACCAATTGTTTGTGTTTGGCTGCTATGTGTTGTGATACCAGGGAAAGCTCGTTTCAAAGTGATGTTTGTATCACATAAAAGATATTGTCCCACAACCATTCTTCCAATTGTTGGTGTTGTTGTGTATTGATTGCTAATGTGTTTGTTGTTCTTATTTTGTGTGTTTTGCAGTTGGTTGTTTGTTGGTCGTGTTCGATGAATTCTAGGGAGGCGTCCCCCACCAGTGGAACTAAGTTAAGCACGCAAAGCTCTGCTGAGCCGACATTCGGTTCTCCAGATTAAGTACGGGTCACTCCAATTTGCTTCAGGTGTTGTCACGTCCGAGTTGTCTCTGAGGTTGCTGTGTTTGTATTGAAGTTGTTGATGCTCCCCCAAGAACTTCAAACAAGGGCAAGCCCTCAAAAGGCAACCCATTCAAAGCGTTGAGGGGAACCTGGTTTCAGTTTTCCTGCGTCAAGCCACCTTTGATTGCCCTCTCCTCTTGAAATGAAACAGCCATCAAAGTGCGAGTCGTCTTTTTCCCACAAGCCATCGCCTTTGCATGTTGCTTGCGTCCGCGCGTGATTTAGCGGATGTGGGACTGACCGAAGCATGGCCCAAAACCGCGCTCAAAAAGCCACGGCGGCTGAAGCATTCCAAGCATCACCAAGTGCCAAGGGCCGGGAAGAAACCCCGGCAACTTCCCACAGCTAGCTTACCAGAATCCACGCAGCAAACGGACAGCCATGGCAGGAGAGATTACGGTGCGACAGCTCTGTGGGAAAGCTGACCCGTTTGAAGTGGTGACGGGCATGACCGTTCGCGAGTTGAAAAGGAAGCTGCACGGGTGGCTGCCCTGCGAAGATGAGTCCAAACGCATAAAAAGTTCTGTGGGGATTCTTGTTGGAGACAGGCCCCTATTGAACAACGAGAAGCTTGTATCAGAGGCCATTCCAGGTACAGAGGTTGTGGCGTTCCTCAGCATCCAGCCGGTAATGTGCTCAAGCTTCCAAGAATCCGGCTGCAAGCTTGAAGATTTGTGCGTAGTCGAAATTCCAGCAGGAGAGCAAATTGAACCATACGCATTCCATGGTTGCAGCTCGTTGGCAAGCGTGACCATTCCCAGCTCTGTGACTGAGATTGAACATCATTCATTCTGTGGTTGCAGCTCATTGGCAAATGTCGCCATCCCCAACTCTGTGACGCACATTGACCATTGTGCTTTCAAAGGCTGCAGCTCATTGGCAAGCGTCACTATCCCCGACTCCGTCACTCAGATTCGCGCATATGCCTTCCAAGGTTGCATCTCATTGGCAAGCATTACCATTCCCAACTCCGTCAGTTTTATTGGAGCATGGGCGTTTGAAGGTTGCAGCTCATTGGCAAGCGTCACTATCCCCGACGCCGTCACTCAGATTGGCCCATATACCTTCCGAGGTTGCAGCTCATTGGCAAGCATTACCATTCCCAACTCCGTGATTTGTATTGGAGCATGTGCTTTGGAAGGTTGCAGCTCATTGGCAAGCATGACCCTTCCCAGCTCCGTGCACGAGATTGTTGATTCTGCATTCAAAGGTTGCAGCTCATTGGCAAATGTCACCATCCCCAACTCTGTGACGCACATTGACCATTGTGCTTTCAAAGGCTGCATCTCATTGGCAAGCGTCACTATCCCCGACTCCGTCACTCAGATTCGCGCATATGCCTTCCAGGGTTGCATCTCATTGGCAAGCATTACCATTCCCAACTCCGTCATTTTTATTGGAGCATGGGCGTTTGAAGGTTGCGGCTCATTGGCAAGCGTCACTATCCCCGACGCCGTCACTCAGATTGGCCCATATACCTTCCGAGGTTGCAGCTCATTGGCAAGCATTACCATTCCCAACTCCGTGATTTGTATTGGAGCATGTGCTTTGGAAGGTTGCAGCTCATTGGCAAGCGTGACCCTTCCCAGCTCCGTGCACGAAATTGTTGATTCTGCATTCAAAGGTTGCAGCTCATTGGCAAGCGTCACCATTCCCAACTCCGTCATGTTTATTGGAGCATGTGCTTTTGAAGGTTGCAGCTCATTGGCAATTGTCACTATCCCCGACTCCGTCACTCAGATTTGCGCACATGCCTTCCGAGGTTGCAGCTCATTGGCAAGCATTACCATTCCCAACTCCGTGATTTGTATTGGAGCATTTGCTTTGGAAGGTTGCAGCTCATTGGCAAGCATTACCATTCCCAACTCCGTGATTTGTATTGGAGCATGTGCTTTGGAAGGTTGCAGCTCATTGGCAAGCGTGACCCTTCCCAGCTCCGTGCACGAGATCGGAGATTCTGCATTCAAAGGTTGCAGCGCATTGACAAGCGCCACCATCCCCAACTCCGTTACTCAGATTCGCACATATGCCTTCCAAGGTTGCAGCTCATTGGCAAGCGTCAGCATTCCCAACTCCGTCATTTTTATTGGAGCATGTGCGTTTGAAGGTTGCAGCTCATTGGCAAGCGTCACTATCCCCGACGCCGTCACTCAGATTTGCGCATATGCCTTCCGAGGTTGCAGCTTATTGGCAAGCATTACCATTCCCAACTCCGTGATTTGTATTGGAGCATGTGCTTTGGAAGGTTGCAGCTCATTGGCAAGCGTGACCCTTCCCAGCTCCGTGAACGAGATTGGAGATTCTGCATTCAAAGGCTGCAGCTCATTGGCAAGCGTGACCCTTCCCAGCTCGGTGAACGAGATTGAAGATTCTGCATTCAAAGGTTGCAGCTCGTTGGCAAGCGTCACTATCCCCGACTCCGTCACTCAGATTCGCGCATATGCCTTCCAAGGTTGCAGCTCATTGGCAAGCGTTACCATCCCCGACTCGGTGACCGTGATTGCTGATGGGGCTTTCCAAGACTGCAGCTTGTTGACAAGCGTGACCATTCCCAACTCGGTGGCAATTGGACGATCTGCCTTCCTAGGTTGCAGCTTGTTACGATCGAGTGCGAGTTGGAGTTTGTAAAGCTGCTGGGTTTGGCCCCCAGCCTCAGTTTGTAGATCGAGGCTCTTTTGGATCTCGTATGTTGAGGGGATTTCCAAGTAGAAAATGGGGGTTGGACAAACGATGGAAAGTGCGGTTGTGGAAAATAGGGGGGGAGGGGGGGGGGGAAAAAATAGTAAAAGGAGAATTCAAAGAATTATTCTTTCTACTATTTTTTTTCCAACAGCAACACAACAAACAGAAAACAAAATCCAGAACAACAAGCAAACAAAATAAATAATCACAACCAGCAACAAAAATATTTAATCACAGCATACAACATTAAATAATTCAAACAAGCATACCAACAAAACAGCAACACTCTAAATCATCAAAGACACTCAACTCAAAACACACATCAACAAAAATCAAAGCAACATACCAACAAAAAATATCACAAGAGCATCAAACAAAACAAAAACAAACAGCCAAAGCACGAAAAAATTGAAGAAGCATGCCAAGTCTAAACAACGCACTTTGAAAGAGATAAGCAAATTATAATAATTCAATCTTTACAAACGATAAATATATTACAATTATAACATATAATATTTTACATGTGATAATTATAGTATGGTTTTAATCAAAGTCATTAGTATTTAAATATTCCTTTGTAATCTTTGGTATTTGTTTAAAGTTCTGTTTATTATTTTTAAATGGATATTTTCTATCAGCAAAATCATAAATGCAAAAACCTATGCTCCAGTTTCCTAAAACACTTTTAATATCATTTATCACATCACCATACATTAATTTACCTATTATATTGTTCTTCTGTTCATCCTGAATATAATCACATATTTTATCAATTATGATTTTCAATTCTTGGTTTCTTTGTTTTATGTAGTTTAAAAATGTTTCCTTGCAATCATTTTCAATTTTATTATTTGATAAATCATACTCATCAATAAATTTAAATATCATTTTATTATTAAATTCTTCAATTGGTCTTGTTGTTCCAGTTTTGCCACCATAACTAACTTCATATGATTGTTCGTAGTAATATTTAATATCATTATAAAATTTTAAAATATATGTTTCGTTATCTTGCAGTATATATTTTTTCACTTTTTCATATGTAGGAAATGTATTTAACTTTATAAAACAATATGTTCTTAATGATGAGTCATCATTTAGAAATGTATTTTCTTCAAATTTCAATTTGTATTTATCATAAATACATTGTCTCAATGTTGAATGTAAATTACTTTTATGTAAAACTTGCTTTGCATTTCTTAATAAAAAACATTTCTCGCATTCAACATAATTAAAATCACAAATGTTTTTAACAATCGGAATAGGTAAATTTAACTTAGTTAGTCTAGTTTTTTCATTTATTAGTTTACATTTACAACTACTGATAATGTCATTAACTTTTATTTTATTCAAAAAGTCATTAATAATTTCTTCTTGCTCTTTTTTAGTAAATTCAACCATTTCTATTATAATATATTAAGTCAATATTTCTTTAAGTCGTTTTCAAAGAATTTATTTTATAATGGCCGTAAGCAAGTGAGTTTACACTATCTATCCAATATTTTTTGTTTTCATAACTACTAAGAGCAATTTTTTTAGTTGTTATACTAAAAATTCTGTGGTTTTTACTTCTAATACTATTAAATGACTTATGTATAACCTCATTAGTTTTTAAAACCGTCTCAAACTCTTCATATTTCATTTGACGTCTTACTGTGCCTTTTGCTATGCCCTTACATTTCTTATATTTTTTATCATCACCATAAACTGAGTAAGCATAGCATTTAGGACGAAGAGCTATAAACCCTGTTATTATTTTACTTTTTAATTCATCCTTAAATTTACCTAATACTTTCTTGTTATTATCATCATAACATTTATGTTCCTTAGGATAATCTGAAAAATCTAATTCTTTTTTAATTGTATTAAGGTCTTCATAAATGTCATTGGTTTTAGTATGAAATACAAAACTATCAGTATCAGTATATACCATTTTAATATTATCTCCATATTTAGGCTTCATAACGTCATAATAAAATTTATACATGTGTTGCTTACTCAAATCTAAAATACTCATCCCAATAAATATAGGTTTGTCTAGTTTCAACTTTGTTTTTTGCTTTTCAACTCCAACCAAATTTTCATTAATGATATGACTATGTTTGAAGTTAGGATTACTTACACACTTCATATATCTAGTTTCATCACTCACAACCTCAAAATCTAAATGTTTCCTTTTATCCTCCATTGTTTTTCCAAATATGGCATTGTTCATCAATTTGTAAACATCTTTCTCAAAATCATTTCTAGCATTCTTCCTCTTCTCAGTGTTAAACTCAATGTAAGGTTTTAAAACTTCTTTTTGTTCAAATTTAATTGCTCTATGAATTTTCTTAAGTTTTAACCCTTGCTTCAAGTAAAATTGTAAGGTTCTTATATGGATTACATATTTTTCTTTATCATTTAAGTTCAATATTAATTTATTTGTTTTCTCATCCGTAGGTTTTTTATGATTTAAAAATTCATAAATTTCAATTTGTTTATCTGACAGCATGTCGGCTTTAACATTCATAACCTCAGGTGCCATTGGATAGTCATTGTGTAAATCGTGTAATTCTTTAGGATATTCTAAATCCACTTCTAGAATATATCCAATATTATTATTTTATAATTAATAATGTCTTCTTCTTTTAATGTATCATCCCATTTTAGATTTTTATATGGCAGTTTTTGTATCATGCTTAACCCGTACAAATTATTAGCATCAAAATAGTTAATATAACTACTTTCTTTATTTTTATCATATTCTTCTCCCATGTATTTATTATTTGCTTCAACTTTTTTAGTAGAAACCATACACATCCCGCCTCTAAGTCCCGCTTCTATCATTTCATACATTTCTTGGTCATATATTAAATCAATCTCTACACCAGTCATTTTAAGCATAGCATCAAAAGCAAAGTTAGGCAATGTATAATAATAAGCAGGGTCCAATCCATAATATTTCATACATACATCTCTAAAATTTTCGAAAATGTCAGTCAATAATAATACATCAGTTTTCAAATATAAATCATGGTATTCACCCATATTCTTAATGTCGAAATGCTTCCATATAATTTTTGCCCTTTCATAGTCGTTAACACTTATACCTTCTTCACTCAACTGACTATAAAAATCATCCTTACTCGGTAATTGCTCATCATCAAATTTATCAAATGAATTCATGTAGTCATAAGGATAAACGCCTTTATCAGTTAATAAATCTAGACATTTCTCACTCTTAATCAAATCATTTTTACTACTAAACCTAAAATTATCTTTCCAGTCTTCACGCAATAACCATTTACTTTTATCTTCTTCATCTGTATTATCATACTTACTCATTGAAACTAACTTATCTAATGAAGCAGTTAAAAACCCAAAAGTGTCTTTAACACTCAAACTTTCAAAACTGATATTAATAAATTTTTCACTGTTCTGAGCGATGACACCTATTTTATTGTTGTTACTTAATTTATCCGCATTTTGAATAATTAAATGACCGTCATAATTTTTCATGTTATGAAAGAATACTGGAATTTTAAAATATCTATTACAAAAATTAAGATTGCAAACATTATGAGCACAACCTCTATACTTACCTGTAAAATGACAATGGTCTCTAACTTTTCTATATTTCTCTGCTTCCTTGGCATTCTTATAGTTCATTCTAAACTTATCCCCACAAATAAAGCAGTTTTTAGCATTTTTAAAATCTTCTTTGTCTTCATCAGTCATGTCTATTTTTTCGTTTTCTCCCATCTTCTCCTTTACTTCTGCCCTAATCTCATTAAGTTTTTGACAAAACACATCAACAGCATCTTTACCACGATACATAAATTCATAATTTGTATTATCAACAGCATTAACCATATTAAGCATAAAACCACATGGTTTATGCTCTTGATAAGAAAAAGTGTTTTTATCTTCATCTTCATCAGGTTTTTTCAGTTCCTCTGTCAAACATTCAAAATCAGCATATACAACAAAAGGACATCTTAACTTTTTGAAGTGATGCTTAAAACTAACTTTCTCATAAGGCTTAGGCATTACTATTTGTTGTCCTTCAACTTCCATGCATCCACTATCATAATGTTTATTTAATAATTCATCATTTTTAAATCCATGATTACAATATTTACAAAAATAGGACTTACCATGATGATTACTTTTTTGATTATTAATAAGTCTGCTCAAACTTTTTATATACACATAATGACTGCAATCCTCCTCATCAACTCTCAACAAATCAATATGACAAGAAGCATCTTTATTTTTCAATTTTCTACTAATAACAATTTGTTCATTATCATCAATTTCATAAACATTAATGGATATTGATTTATTATTTTCTTCAAATATATCTATATCATTATTATTAGCAGGAAAACTCACACCATCAAAAATCAAATCACTTGCTATCTTCTTGTAATGAAACATCTTTTCAGGGTGTGCTTTATCACAAATTTTACAATATCCACACTCAATAGAATATTTAAAACACTTGTCATCTTGATTTTTAATATTGATACATGCCTTTTTCTTTTTAATCCATTCTGGAAGTTCAATATATTTGCCAGCTCTAGTCGGATTATATTTATTATACATGATATGAATATTATTAATATTGCTAATTATTAATCCTGACTGATACAAAGCCATATCTAAAATTCTTGTTTCAACATCAGGTCTCATTCTTTTCAAAGCATTCCTTAAATCCTCTTCATTTACAATAGTGTACGACCTTGTCCTAACTGTTACGTTTCTCTCCTCATCAAATAAGTTCATAACTTTCATATTTATTGTAGCATTAAGTTTCATTCCTCTATTCTCTTTCAAGTATTCATTAAGTTTGTCAAATTGATAATTAAAATAAGTCAATCCGTTCAACTCTTTTAAATGAATGTTTGAAATTGTGTAGGCGTTAGCATATGCTCTAAAGGCGCTTCTTTCTTCTGTTATTA